CGTCGTGTATTAATGATACTCGTTACCTGGAGAGGTTGGAAAAAGATACATGTTTCTTCCCTGTTCCAAAACCAAAATCAAACCCTGAAAAGTGTAGGGTTAGCTAGCTAGCTACTGAAGATTTAGCCTACTGAATGTATACACATGCTGCTTTTGCTTTTTAATGATTATAACAGTGAAACAAAGACCGACCCTGCTGTACAGGAACCAGTGAAGGGAAGCAGGGAAACTTTGCTGATATTCAACCAGCTCTGTGTCATCGCCAGAAGTAAAAAGCTAATGTTAGGCTATAAACAAATTACACCATAGTCGCATGACTAATGTCGCCACCACGAGGCTGTAGAGCCATGTTCAACGTGATAACATCTGTAGTCTAAATCTAGCCATTTGTTATAAACCGCCTTTTTTAAGACACAAAGAAGCTTCAAAATTAATGAGTGGAACCTCTTAAGCTTGTGTTAACCACAGACCATATTTCAGGCATCTAACCAAAAATCCACTGACTTAAAAGTTAAAAGCATCATTGAATGAGCTTCTTCCAACAAGGCTGCATTGTGTACCTAACAACTATTTCCTTTTATGTCCGATGTCAAAATATAATGATCCTTGCTTTTTATTAAATGTGATTTGATAATAAGTTTCTTCATAATTTTTTCATCTGGATTTTCGTGCCACTTTTGTCCAAACAGCCTCGACACTTTGCTGTAATTTCACTTTAATTATGTGTTTACTGTGCTTGAATCTTTAGTCTGAATCCCAGCGCTAAACCTTTGAGGTCTGGACGACATACCACTACACACATTTGACTACACACAAACACGCAGTGGATATAAAAAGTATCGACCCCCACCCCATCCCACCCCACCCCCCAACTGTGACTTTTTCATCTTTTACGGTTTTACAAATTGGAATCACAGCACATTAATTAAATTTTAATGAAACTGATGAACAGATTTGTTTTCACGTTGACATTTAAGAGACTTTCTCTAATGACCAGTTGCAGAAAAGATTAATTAATCCACTGGGATTCAAGAAAACAAGAAAAAGTCAGAGGGGGATAAGCCAACCTTTTACAGATATAGTCTAGTGGCTAAATGATAAGTTAATGAATCGATTCGTCAATTTGTTAGAAGAGTCCATTTGACACTTTTGTCCAAAACACTGTACAAATAAGTACGATCCAAACTATAGTACATCAAGGAGAAGCCACTGAAAATTGATTAATCGTTTAAGTCGAGCAAAACATGTTCTGGTTCTCGCTTCTACGATGAGATGATGCATTTGCTTTGTGCAGTGTTATAGAAATGTAAATTCAATAACTTTTGGTTCTCGACTGTTGAAAATTAAGCAATTTTCTGACGTTTTTACAGACAAAACAATCCATCTACTAATCAATAAACTGAAGCCCTAATAGTCATTGTATAAATTGAACATGTATCAACATTGTCACGAGCCCACTCAAGCTGTGGGTCCCTCCAATCACAGAAACCTTTCACCCAACCATTAACAGCACTTACGTCACCATGCTGTTGCATGCAATACCTGTTTTGGGAGTTTGCCTGATACATGACATTTTGCATGTGTCAAACTCAGAATCCAAATGCAACTAAATCCATCTGAAACAAAACTTCTGGATATCTCAAACAAATCTTCTCAGGACAGTGTGGGTGTACATGCCCCTGATATGCCACCAAACACCCCACAGTAAAAAACCTCGCCATCCCTCCGTGTTCACCCTTAGCTATAGGTGAGCCAAACCACTCCAAAGACCAGCCAAGATCATATTAAAATTTGCATAACAACACAAATTTGCATTTCAATTTCAAATTCTCCAACAAGCTTTCCGTGCCCTCGGGGGTCCGAGGTAGCAGGGCAGATTCCTGCATACCGCAGAGCACGGTCAAAGGTAATGCAGCCACTGTCTGGCTGACGTTGATAAGACTATTTGTCTGAGGTGGTATTTCTCAGCAATGAGATCAAACGGTCTGTCTGGTTGTCAAGGTGGAGGCTTGGATCCGAGCCGTCGCTAACCGAATCCTCCTCAGAGATCCCTCACATCCTGATTCACGCCACGTGTTCTGTCTTTTGGTACAAGTGAGGTGTCACACACTCGATGCTGTAACCTCCTGACCCCTCTGCATGCTCACTCTCCTCCCATCTCCCACATATCAGCTGGCGGTTGTGTTTCTGATGCTGACAGGAGAGAGCAACAAGGCTGGACAATATACAGTCTGGCCTCCCATTTAAATCAATGAGTTGACAAAATATTAGAATGCAGCACAAAATGTATGCCATGATTATTTAGGCAATGACCACATCCCGATATAAACTTTTGGACTACACTGGGACCTGGAAATATACACCATTAGGTGGAAGAAACAGTACAGAATTAGCTATTAGAGATGCACCAATCCAGTATGAACATCAGCATCAGCACTGATACTGACCTTAAAGGGACAGTTCATCCCAAAATCAAAAATACATATTGTTCTTCTCACCTGCCATACTTTTCATCAGTCTAGATTGTTTTAGTGTGAGTTGCCGAGTGTTGGAGATATTAGCCCTAGCGATGTCTGCCTTCTCTTGGATGTAACAGAACTAGACGGTGCTCAGGTTGTGACGCTCAAAAAATACATTTGATACTTTCCACAAATAATGATCCACTTACTCACGATAATCCACGGACCTTGTTGTGAGCAGTTCAGTGCAGGAACTTTTTACATAACTACACTCATCAACTATATCACCATGCAGAAGGAAGAGTGCATCTACTACTAGCTCACCTAGCACCACCAGCTGGCTAATGTTACAGCTCAGCCAAGGAGGATGCGATCAACGTTAACATGTCGCCCTGCCATGAGCCCAGGCATATTGCTCATGAGCAGATGCAGTTAGTTTAGCAGAAAGAAACAAGTTCCTACTAGGCTTGGGTAGTATCCATTTTTCATACCTTCATACCTTCCTGAGTGTGACAGTATTTGTGTGCTCTGCTCCACTTATCAACCCCCACCCCAAAAAATAAATAGTAAACTCACAAAATATCAAGAAATGTAATATACTTACACCTATTTTCAATCGCTCACCTTTTAAATTCAAGTTTCTCTCTTTTAACAAACTAAAATTTATGTTAGATTTAGGGATGCACGATAATATTGGCACATCATCGATGTCAGCCAATATTGGCTTAAAAATTAGAGTCAACCAACAAGCTTTTTTCTTATATTGCACAATGAATTAATATTAAATACAGTATTGTATGTCATGTCTCCATATAAGAGTAGACATGCATAATACAATGTTAATTCCACTGCAGAAGAGACTTGATGATCACTAAAATTAGGTTGGGAAAAAAAGTGGGTAGTCGGTTATCAGCCAAATGAGTTGTAACATATTGGCATACTGGATATCGGCAAAAAATCCAATATCATGCATTGCTAGTTAGCTTAACTGACTTATGAACTCAGCGTAAAACACACTTCATTTAAACTTGAGAGAAACAAATTCAAAATTACCAAAATGGTCTTAGTTAGTCTTGTTAGACGTTAAGTTAGTTCGTCCAGTGCACCAACAATCATCACCTTTGGTTTGGTCGAGATAAACCATTAATTTACCAAGTTAATGTAAAAATATAGTGTTTTCCCCCACAGTCTTTCTCTTCCAGTGTTTGCTGACTATTTACAGTCCTGTAACATTATCCCCACCACTCGCAGTCACCATTGTTTTTCTGCTCAGCTGCCTGTTCCACCAGTAGAGACTGACCTCTGGTGGCACGTGATGTGCACTACACACTGTACAATACAGCCTCTATTCAGCATCTCCATGAGTTCAATCAAAGAGCAGCGTCTGTGTTTTTGACAGTATTTAAAATCATACCGTCTGGTACACCTTGACACTGCACAAACCTGTTTCCTTGAATGAAACGTGTATTTTCTGACGCTTTGAGCACCACAAGCGGAGTATCATCTAGTTCCATTATACTCAAGAGAAGGCAGACATCTTTACAGCCGGTATCTCCAACACTCAGCAACTCACACCAAAACACGTAGATTGATAAATAGCACCACAGGTAAAAGGAAAAGTGTGTATATTTGTTTTTTGATCATGAATTTACTATAATATATGACATAGATAGCAGGAAATTTCTCCCATTTGAGAAGCATGAACTAAAAAATAGTTGTTAATTTTCTGTCGATGACTGATTGACTATCAGCTCTACTAAATTCAGGTCAGTAGAAGATTCACACTGTAAATTGACAAATTAATTTACTGTGATCCTCCAGATACTAGCTGAACAGAATAAACAACGCCGTCCCTTCACAGCCCAGAATGAAGCCTGGACAGCAAACACATAACACACACAACACATGGGAATACGAAATGTTTGTTCCCTTACACTTGATATTTGTGATTCAGGGAATTCACAACTGATGTCTCGCTGTGTGGCTCCTCAGTCTGATGCCGTCTACAACTGTGAGCCCTTCATTTTTATGTGCAATATGGCAGATCAATGGGTATTGATGAGTGAATACAGACACAGTTCAGAATGTATCACAGTAGAAGGAGCTTTAAAATGGCTTTGGAGAATAATGTGATGGATTTCCTTTGATTGTATTTTATTCACTCTCACATTATAAAGTCTGTGTATGAAAGTGTCAATTTAAGCATTAAAATATGTCATAAAAAGTAGCCTGATTGGCTTGTCAGACAATTTAAAGGCTGTTAATGAATGAAAATGAGAAATGAGAAGAGGTATATCAGGTGCTTATTCTTGCATACAATATTTAGACACACTATCCAGTGTAACATTTCTATATTTTTCTATCTTTTTGAAGTATTTCTGCACCGCAAACTGCTCATATTGCGTGCATTTGCACTTCAGAGCGACACAGTCAACTGTGCGCAAAATCACCTCCACAGACAGCATCTCCAGCACCAGCATGGATCGGATCAGATACGACACACACACACGCCTGTATAAGGACACTAAACACACCACTCACGTCTCTGAAGCGATTCCAGTGCTTGATCTTACGGCTGTACTGGGAGATGGTGGACAGCCATTGCTCATCTTCCATGAAATTCCCGGCTTTTCCTGCCTCTTTGCCACTTTTCACGTCCACCTGGAGCGAGTAGCCAACCAGCAGGCACAGGCAAGCGACGGCTCTTAAAACGACCATGTTGCACAGGCAGTTGGGTCTGGGATGTATCTCCTCCTGCTGCAGCTGCTGCCAAGGATCCACATACAAGACTGCTGCTGCTGCTGCTGCTGCTTCAACAGACTGAATGGAAATGAGACAGAGAGGGAGAGAGGGAGAGAGAAAGAGGAGGAGGAGGAGGGAGGGAGGGAGGGAGGAAGAGCGTTAAAGGAGAGATTAGATCCTGCACTAATCATTTATTTCTGCTTACTCGGTTTCATTACTTCACTGTTCTTTTTTTTGTGTTTGTAAGCAGCCCACACGCTCAGAAACAGTCACACTGCAAATGAATCACACAAGTGGAACAGATGTTTATTGTTGTATTGAAGATCAATGAGACTTTATATTTATTGCATTCAAATATTTTTTGGAGAAGGGCCAGTTGGTGCCAGGAAGGAGTCGAGCTCCGTAGCAGGAGCATACAGTGAAACTCAATGTGACTCAATTAAATTTATAAAGCTGGAGGAACTGTGGGGAATTGCTGCAGCTGAGTTAATACCGTACGGTGGAGGTGGCCAAACTGGGCTCTGTGGTTTGCTGAGGGTCACTGAAGGACCCCCAAGTGGCCGCAGGGCAAATGAGGTTAAATTTGGCCTAAAATTAGCTCTGTTTCATCCTTAATTTGTTCATTAGCAGAGCAGAGGGAGAATGACTTAAAGTGACTCGGATCAGTAGTGTCTTACTGTGAAATCTGATTCACAGGACATGTACCTGGAACCAGGGGCGCCCGTTTCCACTGAGCAGTACGGTTCAGTTCCGTTTTTCAGTTTCCACTGTGAAAAGTTGTGGATGGTACCAATGGAACCGTTCTGTACCGTCCCCATTTTTGGTCCCCCTTCTGTTGGGGTACCTAGCACACAGATCTGGTACTAAAAGGTGGAGCTGTGAACACTGCAGTTTGTTGATTGGTCATTAGAGGACGGTCACTCTGCTCAGGGCTGAGTTGTGGCTGGTTTTGAGGCTCATGTAACCACTGTTCATACTGTGGAGAGTTTTATTAGTAAACTGTAACTATAAAATGAAAGGATGTTTTGCTGCCTCTTGCAGCAGCTGGAGTCTGAGTAAAAATAACTGCCGACTGACGGCAACATTTAAGGTGGAATGTTAACTTGTATTGTCACTCAATGCACGAGTTGACGACGTGAATCCATCAGCACACCTTAAATTTCACTGTGACAACTTTGACCATCACTGTAGTTTTTATATGACACACACTTTTAGTAATGAGTGGATCTTCAAGCGTTTACAAATCTTTATTAATTTCGACCGGATTACGTGAACTGCATATATCCCAATCCTCACTCGGAGGGAAAAAAAAAAGCATCATAGAGTGTCGTTCCTGTGGGCTCCAGCCTCACTAAACCCCTGAGCTTGCCTGAGAAGGACTAAATGCACAAACCTGCTATATTTAAATATCCCATGGAGAGAGACTCTCACTGCAGCCTGTTTTATTTTGAGTGCTGGACGGAGCAGTGAGTGACAACATCCTCGCCCACATCTAAAGGCCCATTTATGCTCAACGTTGAATACAGACCCGGATACGGATGGAGCCTTCTGTCCATGCTCTGCGTTCATTTCGTCCGTATTTCTGCACGTTTCCATAAAGCTTACGGATACGGGCCAAACGGAGCAGTACCACCAGAAACCGTGGGGGCAGTGTTGCTGTCACTACCCGATACGTAGCTCTAGTGAGACACTGAAAATAAAATAAAAGAGGGAGACAGGTTTTTCCTATTTCATGTTACTTTGTTATATTTCTCCCTCTCCCCTCTCTGGGAGCGTCCGACCTCCTGCCGCCCGCTCCTGTCTCAAACACAGAGGCCTCCCTCTCCGCGGAGCCTGCACTCCCAGCCCTGCACATATCCCCGAAGCTCGGGTCTCCCTCTCCGCGGAGCCCCCCCCCGCCCTTCCGGCTCCGCTCCCAGGGCTGACCCTCGCACCCTCTGAATGGGGTCCCTCTGTTTTTGTCTTTTATGCAAGAGGTACATTATCATTATCTCCTCCACAGTCGCCATGTTTGTTTTTTGAGTTTGTTGTTGTCATAAACTTTTGACTCTGGGCTGCCCCCTGGTGGATATATTGGTTAACATCCATGCCAACGTAAAGGACGCATTGAAGTATGTGGGCAGTGACGGTAACATCGTTTGAAACCGACGTATACATTTTCATACAAAAAGGGAGCATAAATGGGCCTTTAGGGTACTGTTGTGGTGGAAACACTAGGGTCTAGGTACCATGTCTGAAGGGTTACTTTGATTCCAAAGGTACCATACTGAAAGTGTTTGGTGGAAACGAGGCTCAAGTTGGTATACATTACAAAGGGCCCCAATGGGAGGGGGGGCCTGAGATGCATGAGACAGACATGGATCAAGATAGGAAGGGTGGAGGGGCCCACAGAGACTGCTTATACATAGGGCCCAGAATTTGGTGTTACGTCCCTGCCTGGAACAAACTTTTATCATGGTTATTCTGTGATCTGAGCCTTTGGTTTTCAACCATGGGTCCAAGGACCGTTTCCCTGAGGGAGTTCCCTAACAACCAAAATCTTTTCAGAGTGAGGTCCCTGAAGCAAATAGTGCTCCCTGACCTGATGATTATCAATTTAGAGCTCTTGACAGGAAAAGGTTTCGAGCAACTGATCTAAACTTTATCAAAGAGCAGTGGATTAATTTGTGAGCTGTGCTTAAACTGCTCGAGCTAATCTGATATTCAAATGTAGGCCCAACATTCTCCCTAAATTTCCTTCTAAAGTAGTTTTAAAAACTGTTTCATAACTTCAGCAGCATCACAGTTATGTAGAGAGAAATAACCAAGCCAACACTCAGCAACAATTATTTTAATCTTTTTATTTGATTGCAGTGCATTTTAAAGACCAAGAACAAAGACAGAGCCGTGCTTTCACCATTCAGAAGAAAATAATAGTAGTACTGCTGTAGACACAAAGACATTCTCCCACAACCAATTATTGTTTTCATTATCACTTAATCTGCTGACGATTTTCTTGATTAATCGTTTGATCCATAAACTGTCAGAAAACACAGAAAAATGCTCCTAAACCCAGGCAGATGTCTTCAAATGTCTTGGTTTGTCCTGTTCCATCGTCAAGGTCACACCACGGCTCGATTGATCTCCCTGGGACAAAAATGAGCCTCCGTTATCTCCCTGTTCCTCCCACTATCTGTGCAATTTGCACCTTTGTCCTTGGTGGGAATATTACCCGACCCCAGGAATGCTGCGAGGTAATTTGTGGTTATAAACACAGGTTAATGTAGGGGTAAGATAACAGAGTGTATTTGCACCTGGGTGAGAATCGGCACACTGCAGGTATTTGGCTATTTGCACACACTATGATGCGATATAATGGATTCCAGTGCATGCTGAGATTGGCTAGTACTCGTCACATTGCTGCGTCAAGGTCAAAAGCAGTTAGGATTAGGGTGACAAGGCCATGGTTAGGGCTAGTATTCGGCAATTGCGGTAATTCTCTGAGATAAGAGTGGTAAATATCCAAGAAAAAAATCAGAAATGTACTGCCAGAAAGTCAGGTGGTGCATCATAATTGTTGGCGACAGACACCTGGGTTCTTGCCTCTGCCATGATGCTGTAGGCTATGGCATAGCAACTGCCATAAGATCAATATCAGCAAAATACTGAGAAAAAAAGGTATTTAAACTTTCACATTTCCCTGTAAATTAGCATAACATAATCCTATTTGATATCAAAACCTTGAGTCCTTGACTAGACTTTAATCTTTCACAGGTTTGAACAATGATTGTCTTCACAACACTGTAATGTAAGGATGGATCTGTACGACTGAAGAGGTTTAAAATGGTGTATTTTAGCTGCTGCTGCTGTGATGCTACTTTTTCTCCAAGAGTCTGTGACCTACAGAGTTCTGCTGTGCCTGCACATCATTTTAAGTCTACTCACATTATTCCTGCTGCTCCCTAAACTCTCCATGCCCCCACTCCCTCCGCTCTCCATTTCATCCCCATGAAGATAAACGTAATCCAGCGCTCTGCTCAGATTCATTGGAGTTTAAGGTTACCAATATTGGCCAGGGCCGAGTAGCCGGGGGGCAGGATCGTGTTCCCGTGATGCTGATTAGTTGGCCGAACTGACTCCGACACTGGCATCAAAACAGTCGATGTGGCAGATGCAGACTTTCCTGAGTGTGCAGAGCGCCTTGAATTGGGAAGCAAGGGCAGCAGGAGAAATGTCCCGCAGCGTCAGCCAGCTGCGCACATCAGAAGTGCAAGGGACTGGACATGATGTGTTAATCAAGAGGGTTGTCATCAGTCATGTCATGATCAGGCTGGAATGTGCTGCAGATTAATGGCCGCACAGCTGAGCTGGGAAGCATTTCAAGACTGTGTCCTGCTTTGCACCATTAGCTTTTAAGGATTGTTTGAGATGTTATTGGGAAGTCTGTCTCACGACTCCGGCCTCATGAGGGAAAGAACACCAACAGCAAATGGAAAACATGTTGATGAAAGCTGTGAGTGGTGCATCTCTGAAGATGCTGAGTTTTAGGGATGAGAAGACTCAAATAATCTTTTTTTTTTTAATTTGCAGACAGCTCTTATGTGCTTGCCTCTTCTGCTCCATCAATACAGCAGCCCAGTCACCGGGTTGTGCTTCACTGATCAGATTGAATTCTCAGTCAAAGATCGATGTCTCTACCAGGTGAATAATTTCAGCTGCATCTCTTTAAATGCAGCAGTAACAACCTTAAATCTCCATCTGAATCAGGGGTGTCAAGTTAAACATTGAGTAGATTTAGTAAAATGCTGCTTCATAGGCTTTTCCATCCCGACCACAATACAGGTCTTTTCTTTCACTTTGGCGCAGTGATGTTGGGAGTACTACACGGGAGACGAAATGTACAGAAAAATGCACATGTATTTGACAGTGAGTAGCAGACTGACTGAATGTGGAACATCTGAGAAATATTGTTGAAACTGCATTGATTCTATTGAAGACGTCACAGGCTGTTTCTCATCCAGTTTGTAAATGGATTAGTGTTTTTAAAATGTATGTCTTCCGATAAAAAAGGGAAAGTTTGGAGATATTATACAATGGTTTTACCGGTCCAGCTGACTGTAAGTGGCCCATGAACCAAAATGAGTTTGACAACCCTGATCTAAATGCTCAGTTTAGATCATATCTGGTTTCTAAGAATTCCGACAAATAGATTAACGTGTCACAATTACTATGTGGCCATTTGTGCATCTCTGAGATGTACCAGGCTTTAAATCTATTGCGACGCAAGCTACGTCATACGTCATGGAGCGAAGGAGAGAATCTGCAACGAGGAGGTATTTCATAGTATTCCAACTGCTGTTGCACAATTGTTTATTTTGTTAAAAATAAATAATTCATCATTCCATTAATCTGTTTCATCTTGTTTCATTTTATCTTAGAAAAGAACTGTGTAGTCATCAATGCCTGATGCCTCTAGTCTTTTCTGTTCTACGTGTAAGGGTATATAGCTTTTTAGATCCACCATGGTATCGGATCAGTATCAGGTATCGGCTGATACTCAAAGCCACAACATCAGGATCTGTATCGCAACTGAAAAAGCTGGATCGGTGCATCTCTAGTCCCAGAGAGACGCTTAAGGGTGCCTTTGGCATTTGACACGCCAAGGGGCATAAGAAACTGTTGGTATTTGATGGCCTGGCATGAGAACGCCTTGCGATGACAGTGATGAAAACCCCTAAAACAGATGCCGTAAAATTACAAGGAAACATTGGTGCAGAACAAGCTACAATGCAACCGCTGTGGACAGGTGTGCCCCGTCAATATTTGTCCATGGAAAGTGCTTGTTTTTGCCACTAACAGGCTCAAATTGTTATTACAATGGACAGAAAGAGAGGTCTTGTTCTGAAATCTCAGCAGAGGTGACTTGTTGGGGAGAGGCAATGGTGAAAACGTTAGTGAAAGTTGGAAGGAAGAAGTGCTCAGCAGAGTTTCCCTTTAAACAGCCTTCTTAAGTGCTATATCGTAGGCAACTGGACTTGCTTGAGTTTCTTGAAGACATTTCACCTCTCATCCAAGAGGCTTCTTCAGTTCAAGAGGTTCAAGCTTCAATTCAAGCTTCTTCAAGATACTCAAGCAAGTCCAGTTGCTTCCAATATAGCACTTAAGATTACCACGGTCTAGATGACTGAGAATCTTCACCGATATGTTGCCAGTCAATTTGGGAAGAATGCCCTTCGACTGGTGCAGGAATTTCGAAAGAATATCTCAAGAACTGAAGAAGCCTCATAGATAAGAGGCAAAATGTTTTCAAGAAACTCAAGCAAGTCCAGTTGCCTACGATATACTGTAGCACTTAAGATGACCATGACCTGGATGACTGAGGATCTTCACCGATATGTTGCCAATCAATTTGGGAAGAATGCCCTTCGACTGGTACGCAGAGTCCTGCACTGGGTCGGGTACCCGCAAAAACAGCTGATTTGCGGGTGGTTTTTAAAAAAACATTTTTTCCCGGGTTCGGATCTGGGTGGAAAAAATAACATGCGGGTCGGATTGCGGGTTTTAGATAAACACATCAGTCATTAGTTTGGTAAACTACAGATAACTATCTTGGTCATTATTTACTCTCTGAGGATCGCCTCCGCTATTTCGCAATGGTCATTGGTTCAGGTGTTTACACGCGTTTCATCATCTAATAACACAATTTGTGATTGGACGACAGAATCAACATGGCTGCCACCATCTAACGGGGAACTGCCCATTGTTCCGACCATATTAAACTCATTGTTCCGAAGTCCGTTCCGAAATCATCATGATGCCCTGTGGTTAAGGTCTGGTTAGGTTTAGGCACAAAAACCACTTGGTTAGGGTTAGGAAAAGATCATGGTGTGGGTTAAAATGAAAAAGAAAGTGACAAACACATAAGCCGTGAGCCTGCTCTGCCTCAAGCCGGTCGTTGCGCACCATACGCCTGCCGCGAGCCGTTCAGCACCGCGGACAGTCGGACTAATGGGATGTCGAACCAATGGGCTGTCGAACCAATGACATGGACCCGTCTAACAAAACATTAAAACATTAAATAATTATTTAGGTATTTGAGAAATAAGTGGATAAAACGTACAATTATCACTTTATAATGTTTCTGAAGTGTTTCCCTGATGGATTACTTCTCTCCTTGATGGATTCTAAAAACACGTGACGGCTTGTAACTGCTGAACGTCGCTCTGGACAGAAAGTAAGTCTATTATTACACATGTAAAGTTCCTTTACTTAGATTAAAAGTTTAAAAGCATTAAACGTAACAAACGAGTGCTTTTACACTCGTATGGGAGAAGAACACAGAGGGTTGAAGATGGAGCTGAAGTCAGGTTTTTATTGTGAGAGCTGCTTCATTCAGGTCGTTGTTCACTCACTGGCACCTTAACTGTGGCGATATGCTGTTCAATATTCAGCCAATATGACCCAAAATGATTACTTTAAATCCGGGTTACGGGTCGGGCTGGGGGTCGTGTTTCAACGGGTCAGACCGGGTTGCGGTGCTAATTGGCCTGATGCGCGGGTTTGCGGTTCAGGTGCGGGTTTGTATGTTGCTGACTCTGCCGGTACGGGAATTCGAAAGAACATCTAGAGAACTGAAGAAGCCTCATGGATAAGAGACGAAACATTTTCAAGAAACTCAAGCAAGTCCAGTTGCCTACGATACAGCACTTAAGATTACCATGACCTGGATGACTGAGAATCTTCACCGACACACTCTGACAGCCCCTCATGCAATGTTGTTTTCTGTATTTTGTGATTTTTTTTTCATGTTAAAATGACAAGGTGCTCAAATTTACCTGCAGAGAACAGCGGTAAAGACTTATCCATCCTAAAATATGAACAGACACAATAATGCATAATACATACCATATTTCCAGGTTTTTAATCAGCATCTGTCAGAGGATGCAACAGCGACAGGTACAACTTCAATAAAAGCTAAAAATCTTGCAAACACTGTCTCTTACTACTTGTATATTTATTTAACCTGTTTTACGACAGTTGCAAGGGGCAGTTAATGTTCATCACGTGCAATTTAGGAGACATTTCTGTGACTACATGTAAAGTGGTTGTGCTCTCAGATTTGCATATTAAAGAAGACAGGACTATTGGCCTTAGCTGAGGTCTGTTTTATTTGAGTGCCCTTCTAGTCATTACTGTTTCATGTTGCTTGTCTTCCTGTGTACGTACTGTGTTATTATATATTTTTTGAAAAATGAATAAAACTGTCTGGACAAAACAGCAACAAAACAGTCCTCTACTAGTATGTATAAAAAATGGAGGCAGCTCCACACAGCTAGTCAGAAATCTCTACATATCAGAGTTACGCTTTGGAAGAGTGCCTTTAATTGTGAGGGGATTAACTGATGTCATCAGCTCCCCGTGTTTCTCTCTAGGCAGATGTTGATAGAACTTATCTATCCTGTTCACCAAGCATAATCAGTTTACACAAAAGGAGTACAGGAGAAGGGAAGCTTCATTTGAATAACATCAGACAAGACAGCAAGCGGCAAAATTTAAAAGGTTGTTTATCTGTAAATATTTGCCATCTGCAAAGCAAACACATCCTGTTTTATGTCTTACAAACAGCTCATAAGGCCCAACACGAGCTCCGCCGCTTATCGTGGCAGTACGTATTCTCACTTGATGTAACAACTCCGCGAGGATCGCTTCAGGAATCCCTGGTACACAACAATTAATTGCAAAAGGCCAAGGGTGGATGCTTTACACATTTATTTATTCATCCCCGCCAGATTTAAGCAGAATGTTAAAATGTAGCACCTCCTGTCACCATGAAAGAAAAACACAACCCAAACAAATGTTCATTTTCCGACTGATTTCAACAAGATTCAGCAAAGATGCAAAGAGACGTTGTTGTGAGTCCGTTCGTGTTCATCATCTGATGGGAAATCCTCATCCATGACCTGCAACACATAATCAGTTATCAATATTTGTACTTTATAACACCCTAAGGCTGCATCTAATGATTGTTTTCATCTTCACTGACTGTGTTGGTTATTTTATAATGACTCAATGTATTATGTAGTCTATAAAATGTCAGAAAACAGTGAAAAATATCCTGGGTGACATCTTCATAATTGCTTGTTTTGCCTGAACAACAACATAAAACCCATAGATGTTCAATTTAAAATGATGTAAAACAAATTAAAGCAGCAAATCCTCACATTTAAGAAGCTGAGCAAGTGAGTGTTTGACATGTGTCCTTGATAAATGGCTAAAATGATCAATTATAATTCTTGATTCAATTTCTGTTTATGAAGTAATAGTATAATGTGCTACTGACTAATAACAGAACAAGATCGTTTTCAATATTAGTAAAACTTGACTTAAAATGTTAGTGGGTTAAATGACTTTGCTGCATCAAATCACATCGCTGCCTTTAAGTTCTGTTATTTAATTAACTTGTGTATATTCCACCCCAATGTTTTATTAGCTGCAGCCAGCAGCTCTACAGCTCGCTCTGTCAGGTAGTCGGTCCCCAAAATTTCCCCATCCTTTGGCGGCCACAGTTTTTGCCCTAGATCACATCCACACTAGGTCATTTTTATTTTAAAACAGATTTTGAGATACACACTAGCGTTTTAGCACTGTTTCAGAAATCATCTACATCCGTACTAACACGCCTTAAAACGCATATGACATGATCATTCATGTACACTGGGCGTGTGCGTGCTGATGTAGACGTGAAGCAGATTGTCTACTCTGCAGTTGTTTGCTTAGCAACAGAAAAAAAACTAAGGGGATGGCAGTAAGTAAGACCAGAGATTTCTTTGCTCGCACCGATGAGGAGGTGGAACTGTTACTGACAATTACATCAGTATAAGGTGGTCTCTGCGACAGACAGCAGATGGGAAGTGCAGAGCAAATATGGTGACCTATCAGAGCAATACAAGTGGCATTATCCATCACTAGACAAAGTCATGGCAACGAGAAAGTAGTACCAACACAAGAAAGTGTGGTGACCTAGCTACGTTTTGGCTTGACCGGTAGCAGCCTAACTGATAAGACCCAATCAGAAGGCAAACGTGGGCGCGTGAGTTATTATTTTCAAATGTCTCCATTTCTGAGCGTCCAGTCTGAAATGCAACCCAGGAGTTTACAACAAAAAAGGGGGCAGCAGTGTTTTCAAAGGTCTCTGTTTTAGGAGTTTCAAAGTGCTGGAGTAGTGTGAGCGTAAATGTAGCAATAGTTATGCATTTTAAAACTAAAACATATTGGTGTGGATGTAGCCTTAGGAGGCGACATTCAGCATGGAGGTCAAGTGTGTGTGTATGTATGTGTGTGTGTCTGTGTGTTTGTGTTCATACCAATTGGTTATAAGCGAGCTGGGCAGTGGGGTGGCCCATAACATGTACGTGGAAAGCGCCTTAACTGAGTCACGTAACATAATCACACTTTGAAGAAAGACACACAAACAAAATAGAAAAATAGATGAAAAATCCAGCTCATTTACTTAAGTCATGTTAAGTTTTGCCCCACCAACAAAGGCCTACTGGTTTTGCTGGGGTTTTAAGGGTGGAGCGAAATAAAAATGAACTATGATGTTGGGCAGGACGTCCTCAAGCAAGGAAGAAAATAAAGGGAGAGCGCACCTCAAGATGGAAAAAAATGAATGAGAAAATGAATGAAATTAATGAGCAATTAATTACAATCAGTCCCTTTAGGTTTTCGCGAAATGTTATTGGGATTGTTGTGTAAAATGCTTGATTTCATAGCAGCTTTTCAAGTTGTGATGCATGTTGTGATATTTATAGGCATTTTTTTTGTAATGAAATTGTAGGGCAAGTGAAAATCGCAATAATAGTTGTGATGCTGTCTAATGCCTGGTACATACTACATCATATCAGCCCGATTATTATAGCCCTACGCAGCGTCGCACGGTGTTGTCTCAGATCATGAACGACGAGTGTTGTAAGCGATAATCCGTCGTTTTATCTCCTGCAGGGTGTCATACTAGACGACAACCGACGCCATGTCTGGGATGCCTCACGGCGTCTTGACAGAAAGTCCAACATGTTTGATTTTCTTTTTGTCGTTCACGACTTCCCTCGTCACAGCCGTCACTTTGACCGATAGAAACACAGAGCAAACTGCTACTGTAGACAATTGTACGCCAACAACACCCCGACCTTTTGATATTTCCTCTAGGGACGTTACCACACAGAGTAAAAAAGGAAAATAATGGCGAAAGACGGCCCATTATGATTGGTCGTGGACCAATGTGTAGTCTATCATGTCCGTCAGGCCAAGTCACGGGACAACTTTATGACTCCACATTCGCCTAATCTGACATAGTGACTCCTCAGAACAGACAAAAATGTCGTGTAGTGTGAACCCAGCATTAGACTCTGAGCTTATTACTATGAGCATGCAGTGTTTCCCACAGAATTAGAATTTATTTCTAATGGATGGGGGGTTGGGGGGCAGCAACAGCTGATCACCGCCATTGTCGTAGACACTTGTGGGAGGCATCCCTGGACAAAGCAGAGTTCCTTTCCCATTGGTGATGGTTTACCCTGCCCCTACACTTTTACCACACCGCCTTCATAACTCCTGATGCACCTGGAAGTTTACAATTCCATGTGACGCCTAAAACGAGTGGAGCATTTTAAGCTGTGACCAACGGGTCTGTATCTCGTTCTGTTTGTCCACAAAGCTGTGCCCACTCTGTAGCAACAGCAGCTTTCTATCAGTGAAGCTTAAATCTGCCATGGAGGTCAAGTGTTTGTGAGGTTGTGTGCGTGTGAATGCATGCGCATACCTGGCAGCTATTGCGAACATTGTACATTAAGGCATTAAATATTGATGACAATAAAACAAACAAATGGTGCAGCTACATTTCCACTACAGCAGCCACCACTGCTTGTTTGTGGAGCAGTTACTCCCTGTGATAGGAGCTGCCACTGTAAAGTGTGCATGAGGAAAAAAAAAGAAGTCTGAGAGTGAGTTCCTGGATAGGGGAAACGTCAAAGGAAGTTATTTTGAAAGTGGAGGAGAGAATAAACCACATCGGGAGGCATTTAATAAGTAATCTCGAGTGACTTACAGCTGTAAGTGGAGCTGCTCTAAATGCGTATAGATCTAATTCAATTGGATTCAAACTGGGTCACACAGCTATTAAAAGTGCAAAGTTAGTTGAGAGCAGTCTGGCAGCAGTTTGCATTTGCCAGCAAAAGTACTGTAGCTGCTGTTTTTGCACTGCAGGCAGCTGCGGCAGGGGTGGCACAGAGTGCAGCACCTTTTTTTTTCAATTAAACGTACTCAACAGACAGAAGCCGGCTAATATCCTGAACTCTTGACATGCTCAGTCTCTACTGATGATTTATTTTTAGGCTGCATATCCAGCTTATACCCACTATTATAAATGACAAATCCTCATCAGTTTCACTACTCTACTTCCTACTACTAATGAACAGCATGAAGTGCTGTGTGAAGGGATTTAACACCACAACACTTTGGAGTGGATGGATAAAACACTTGAAGTCAGATGGAGGATTTGTGTAGCAGATTATAGCGTCCGATACAGAGAGAGTTTACAGCGGTGAAGCTCGGCGTCTGCATATTAAAACTGAATCGATCATGTTGGTAGAGACTAGCTGGCGAACATAGTGGAGCATTTAGCAGCTGAAGAGACAGATATTTCCCCCATGAGTTGGTGGAGATCAAAAACAGAACTAAAAAGAGAGAATATTGGACTTGTATTTGTCAGGTGGCCAGAGACGCGACTCCAAATGAATGCTAATGCTGCTCCTTGTCTGCTGAGTGGAAATAGGCAACGTTGCTAAAACATTTGCCATATTCACAATGAAAGGTGATAATATGTTAATGTTGTGTGTCCAGCTTGTTCTGCTGCCCCCCAAACAGACAGAAAATCAATAAATGTTGCTTTAAAGTCCCGACGAAGTTCATTTGAAATTTAAATACAGACACCTCCACAGTCCTTAAAGAAGTATTTTGCTGCTGGAAAGATGGTCCTATCTTAAAACTGGGCTCTCTGTGCAATAGAAAAATGCAAATAGTTTTGAAATTAGAGCTACATGACCAGGGAAAACAGAGGAAAAGTGCTGTGGCATTTGCTTTAGTCCAAAAGGTAGAAAACCTCCAACAACCAGAATGCACTGCGCTGCACCAGACCAATAAACACCCTCACTGGTAGGTGTTGAAATGCAAGCATGGACGTTTTGACACAGGACCAGCTGGGAACAAACAACCTTGAGTTACAGTTAAACCCTCTCCCCAGCAACGCTTTCCAGCTCCTCCTAGGGGACGCCAATGCGTTCCCAGGTCAGATGAGATATGTAATCCCTCCAGCATGTTCTGGATCTGCCCCGGGGCCTCCTACCAGTGGGATGTGCCCAGAGTACCTCTAGCTGAAGGCACCCTGGAGGCATCCTGATCAGATGCCTGAACCATCTCAACTGACCCCTTCTGACGCGAAGGAGCAGCGGCTCTACTCCGGGCTCCCTCCAGAAGTCTGAGTTTCTAAAGCTGAGCCCAGCCACCCCACGGAGGAAACTCATTTCGGCTTGTATCCAAGGGTGAATGCAAAATCTCAGCACACCTGTCTGATGAAGGTGACATCGACCGAAACGTTACGCCAATAAATATTTGACTGAGAGCGATACAGTGTGCGGGAACCTTTCTTTGATTTTGTGGCTGCTTGTATCCAAAATCTCATTCTTTCTGTCACTACCCAGAGCTCATGACCATAGGTGAGAGTTGGGACGTAGATGGACTAGTAAATTGAAAGCTTCTCCTTCCAGCTCAGCTCCCTCTTCACCACGACAGTCTGGTGCAGTGCCTGCATCACTGCAGACGCTGCACCAAACCGTCGATCGATCTCACACACCATTCTACCCTCACTCGTGAACAAGACCTGAGAGACTCGCTTGAGGCAGTAAGTATATTTGTAAATATGTTGGTAAAATAAGTTTCTGAAAATTGATGTGAGAAATAGGCAACACAGAAGCAGAATCTTGGTTCATGTTTGATTAGCACTGCTTAGTTTTGCTGTTGGATCTCAGTTTTTCAGCCTCCATTTTTACAATACAGGAAAAAATATGGCTCCCACTTCTCGTTCACAAATTCTTGTATTACAGCCAAACAGTGCACTAAAACATCTTTCTGAAAACATTTTAAGCGAGAAATAGTCAATGCACTACAGGACTTTTGGCTTATATTTGATCAGCACTGAGTAGTTTTACAGTTTGACCTCAGTGTGAGTGGGAGACAGAGAGAAGGGGGGAGGTCTCTCTCTTGATCCGCTTCTATACTCTTTGTGTCTGTGGTGGCGAGCGTACAAAACTTTGAAAGCACAATCTGTATCTTCGAGCAACAGCCCTAGAGCCAATGAAAATTCAAGCAGGGAGATGTACTGGTAAGCTGGAGGTTAACCACAGCTGGATGACGCGCTGGCTCCAGGAGTGTTGCTCAGATGACATACTGTGCTTCTGCATTTTCGTACGCCCGCCACCACTGACACAAATGGAAAAGAGGCAGATTTAGAGAGAGACCTGCCTCTGCGTCGCGCTCAAACTCAAACCAAACTCCGATCAAACTGTTCAACCAAGCAGTGCTGTTCAAATATAAACCAAAATTCTATTACTGAGTTCCTTATTTCTCACCTAAAATGTCTTAAGAAACATACTTTAGTGCACTGTTTAGCTGTAATATGAGAATTTGTGAACAGGAAGTGGGTGCCATACTGTTTCCTGAATTCTAAAAATGGAGGCTAAAAAAAACTGAGATGGAACAAAGCAGTGCTGATCAAATATGAACCAAGATTCCTTCACAGAGTTGCCTATTTCTCACCTGAAATGTTTTCATAAACATATTTTAGCACACTCTATAACTGTAACCTCGCATCACTCACATCGCACCAACCAGCAGGAGAATTCAATGGTCCGTTGTGGTGCAGTGCATTCCGATAGTTGTAGGTTTTCTACTTCTTGAGCAAAAGCGAATGCCACAGCACTTTTGCTCTGTTTTTAATGCGGCAGTTTCAAAGGTATTTGCGTCTTTCTGCTGCACAGAAAGCAAAGTTTCATGAGAAGACAATATTTCCAGCACCAAAATACTTCAAGTTACTGATGCTAAATAAACTGCTTTTATGTCACATTGAAGTAACCAAATACTTTTAATAAATGGCAAACACTTACTAGTTCCAGCTTCTCAAATGGAAGATTTGATGCCTTTCTCTTTTATGTCATTATAAATTTAATACATTTGGGTTTTGAACTGTTTGTCGAACAAAACAAGCTACAAGCTAACAAGCTAATTCAAGACATCATCCTCGATTCTGCTACGTTGTTCTGAGCTTTTTTTCAGTGCTTTCCAACATTTCACACAATAAACAATTATCTCCAAAAAGTAATAGAGTTGGATCGATAATGAAAATTTGTTGCAGCCCTGTTTTAAACTCCTTGTGCAAAGTGTACATAAAGTAAACAGCCGTTTTGAGTGACTACCTGCTGTTCAAACACACCGGGCTTTGTGCCTCTCCTCCCTGTGTGAATGCCTCCAGCAGTAAACAGACGTGGACAGCTGCAGGCAGCCTCCAGACTCGGCGTTCTGAATGATAAAGAGCTGCTGCAGGGATCACCTGCCTCCTCGCTGGAGACACAGATTAGACATTTCAAATACTCTCGCCTTGGCTGTCCGTCAAGGCCGCTCGTGCCCATTAAGTGACAGAGTGATTAGTGTGACATTCAAACTGCGCTGACACTCAGCTGGAGAGTCACTTCCAACATGAGAGAACAATCAAAGGCAAGGCGCGCTGTCATATTTCACCGCTAACAATATCCAATTTGAAAGATTCGCTGGCTTAGTCTGGCAGGATCATTTTCACCTTTGTAGCTTCTCGTGGATAGATGTGTTTGATCGATCAAAAGACCTTCTTAAAGCAAGCTTATGATTCAAGCTTGTTAAGTGGAAAACATGACACCAGGAGTGCAAAGCAACCAACTTAAATGTCATCTTAGTGCTTCCTTACTGTCAAGTTCACCCTCTCAGTTAATTGGATTTGGATTAAAATATTCTACGAACCTGATCAGCATTCCAGCTTTAAGGCACATATGGGTAAAACTTAACCGTGACCTTAAAAAGTAATTAGGTGCTTAATCGATTTCATGTGTGTTATTACTCCGAGCACACAAATCAAACATATCTACTGTATTAAAAGGTCACGTCTGTCAAACATCGTCTTTTTTGTTTCCCCCAGCAGATGTTAACGCTGGCTCCTCTGAATGAACGCTTAATTTCTAATCACGCTTTGAGAAATTGCACAGTGTGGTTCTGAATATCAAAATGTGCTATAAAGAAGTTTGACACTGATCAAGTAAGACCTATTTCAAACAGAGTCTGCATAAAAAATGGCTACTGTGAAAACTGGCATGAAATTAAATATGCAAATTGGATGGAGGCCTAAACAATACTTGCTTGAGATAAAACAAGACTTACCAAACATGAATTAATTCTCATTATTGCGAGGTTCATTGTGAGCTTTACGAGCTTATTGGAGTGATTTCTTTGCTTTCACTTCTTTTTAAAATCACAGCTTTTTCTTTCTACAATTTTCACAAGGGGGAAAAAGTAAATAAACTGTTGTTTTATTTAATCGTAAGGCTCACCAATGTATGTAAACAAGCACATATGCACACATGCCTGCACAGACAACTAAACTGTTTAACATTTTAATTAAAACCCAGCTCCTGTGTCTCCTCCGATCTTCAGAAATAAGGATGCAGATCCACAGAGGAAATGGGTCTGCCGTAACACAAACAGACACTGAGGTCTCATTTATCCGGCTTATTGAAAGGGATGTATGCTAGTCTCGAAATCTCAAGGGTCAGGTTGGAAGTTCCCACAGCAGGAAGCTCGAAGCTGACTAATTAGGGTGAGGGATGTGGCAGGGACAGAAAAATATGTATGCCGGGCGGCGTGCTCACCCAGTTCAATCCAAATCATTTCCCACACCGTAAAAAGATCTCTAGAAAAAACAAAATGCTGTATGTAGTATTTTTGTTAATTTCTGACTTTGATTTCTGATAAAATGTGACTTGCTGATTTGCTGGCTCCTCAGATGTAAAAATCTTCCATTTTTTTTCTGTTTTATATCTTTGTAAATTAAATAACTTTTTATTTTGTTAGTTGAACAAAACAAGTGATTTAAAGACCTATTCGCACGTAGCACTGACAAGCAGTATTTAAAGGAACAAAGTGTGAGATTTAGGGGGATATAGTGGCATCTAGTGGTGAGGATTGCATATTGCAACTATCTGAAACATCTCCCGGTAAAAATTCCTTCAGTGTTCATTATTCAGGAAGTTTTTATTATGAGCTTAATTATCCACAGAGGTCTCTTCCTCTCCAAAACAAACAAACCAGGTGATTAAAAACTGGTAAAAACACTGAATAAAGCAGTTTCATGTTACAAATCCCTGTCTGGCATGTCGCAGATTGGCAGCTAGCCTTACACCTGCCAATGTGTGCTTACCTGTTTTCTTAGATAACTTAACATCCAGACCTTCATGAGGTTTTTACCAGGAGCCGAATTATCCACAGAGGTCTGTCAATCTCCAAAACAAACCAACCCAGTGATTTAAACTGGAATGAACACTGAATATAACAGTTTTATGTTTAAAAAAAATCTGTTTTTCCAACACTGCTTGTTGCCAACTACAGTCCGGACGTGAAAACGCACACGGACCTATCTAGAGCCAGCGTTTAGTTTGTCCGTGCTGAGCTACTGTAGAAACATGGTGGTGCAACATGGCTGACTCCATGGACAAGGACCTGCTCCCTATGTAGATATGAACGGGTCATCCTAAAGTAACAAAAACACAGAGGGAAACTTATATTACACTCCATTTCTGCTGATAAATCCCACTAGATTAAAGAGTCACCCTTGAACTCATTCATTCATTCATTCATCTTCTAACCGCTTCATCCTCTTGAGGGTCGCGGGGGGGCTGGAGCCTATCCCAGCTGACACCCTTGAACTTAGCATTATTAAATAATCTATAAACAGGGATGGAACGATACATGATTTTATCAGGGATCGCAATGAAAAAAACTCAATAAGTTGATTGCGGTGAATTTCCATTAATGAAATAATCGTGAATATACGGTCAAGCACAACCTGTAGAGACTGCTGTGCAACCAAAAATAAATAAGACTGCAAAAACAAGCTGCAAACAAACCAATTTCAAAAAACGCAAAATATCTTAATCCAGCACTGGCATATTTAAAGAGACATTTTGCTGATTTTCAACCAGGTCTGTGTTACTTCAGTGTGGGGAGTGTGTGCAGATGAACCGTGTTTGGCATTCCCTCGTGCAAGCAATGCCAGAAAGTCCCCATCTGTACTGTAAGCAAAAATGCACCATAATTTTACATCATCCAGCAGATTTGGCTAGTGGATAGGTGGTGGACTCTGAGAGCTGGCGGCATGCGGGACGCCTTAACACTGTTCATCTGCACACACTCACCAGACTGAGGTGACACAGACCTGGTTGAAAATCAGCAAAGTATCCCTTTCACATCAGAAGATTAAATACCATTGAAATAGTTGAAAAGCCTGACTTTTACCATGCTTGTCTTTTGCTAAAAATGATTAACTGATTAGTTGTCAAATATTAAATTTATCACCAACTAATATGATAACTGATTGAGTAATGAGATTGAGACTGACAAAACAAGACATTTGAGGATGTCATTTTGGGCTTTGGGAAACACTGATCGCCTTTTTTCACCATTTTCTGACATTTTATAGTCAAAAAAACAAATACACTGAGAAAATAATACACAGATTTATCGACAATTAAAATAATCATTAGTTGCAGCCCTACAGTCCAACATGTTCTTAATCTATGCATCAAAACACACATATGGTCACTTAAATAAACATGTAATCTGAACGCCTTATACAGAAATCTGGTGACAAATTAAATGTCTTCGGTGTCTGAGTGTGTCTGCAGATGATGTATGTTCCTCCACGTGTTTTCAGTACCATCATTAGTGAAGACATCTGCCCAGCGCATCCTTAATCATGTCACTGCCAAAACAAACAAGGATGCACGTTCTCAATGAATTTCATTAACTTGCAAATGATCTTCTCACTCTCGCTCTGCGTGTGCTTTTGAACAATAGTATCGGCAAATCCCAGAGCCCTCACTGTTACCTGAGAGTGGCGTTCTGTGGCTGGATGTGTACTCCTGACCCACTAACAAGCATGCTCTCAGGAGACAGGGAGTGGATAATTAGTCCTTTCCTGGGTCTGAAAAGATAAATTTTATGGAAGGCCTGGCTGGCTGGCTGTTTTCCGATGACGAAATTTGCATGTCCCTGTCTAATGGCGTCTGTTGACATGGCTCCAGGAGAACAGGGAAAAAAAACAGAAGTCACACCACTGCTGAAATGGGAGGGTGGACAGCAAGGGATGGCAGAGCTGACAAACAAAAAGCGCCCTCAGTTTCCATCAGTGTAACTTTTGGCCGCTGTGCAACTGCCCTCCTGCATGCCAAGCAGAGCGCATCGCCAGCTGAGGGGAGGGCTGAAAAAAGCTCTGATGGCGGGAGCAAGTGGCACAGGCTCTGTCCGATGTCTGTATTCACTGACACACCCGACAGACGGGAGTGGGAACGAGGTTGCGGCTTCATGCGGGGAGGGCACAGATAAAAAAGATGGAGGGGAAAAAAAACCAAGACTGGTGTAATAAATCATGTCAGTGACGCATTAACACATTCATGAGGCAGTAAGATGAAAGGAAGTGGATGATACTTATTAATGGTCAGGGTGAAACCAGAATTTTGGACAGTTATGAAAGTTTTTATGATTTAGTTTGAAATTATTTCCTTATAAACGTTAAAGTCTCACAGTCTGCAAGAGAAAGTCTGAGTTTCTCGAACTATCAGCTGAAAAACGGTTATAAAACTTTGATCAGCTATTTCAGCTGTCATGGTCACCAGGTGAGACGGTGCAGCAGGACTCCTTAAATTATTCATAATCTGCCATTAATACTGACTTCCTGTGAGACTGGACTGAATGTATATGAGATGTACTAGCCAATAATCTCCCGAGAGTGAACAAGTCAGGGCATTTAGACAACTTTAAGGGTAACGCTGCATTTGGATGGTGATATTTACCAGGTGATAAAAAAAGTAAATGATCATCCAGAGATGGAAGAAAGTTCTCAAAAAAGATAAAGAAGAAAAAGAAGTAGTAAAGATGAAGAGGATGATATATTAGTGATGACCACAAAGACGAAGACGTCGTAGCAGTAGTAATAGTAGTAGTAGTAAAAAAAGTAGTAGTGAAGAAGAAGCGCAATAAGACGTAGTCTTAGCAATGAAGAAGACGACGAAGAAGTAGTAGTAGTGAAGAAGAAGAAAAAAGAAGACAAAGAAGTTGCAGTAGTGAAGAAGAACAACAAGATGTAGTCTCAGTTAAGAAGAAGAAGAAGAAGGAGTAGTAGCAATGAAGACAACGAAGTAGTAGTGACGATGAAGAAGAAGAGGAGCAAGAAGAAGATGTAGTCTTCGCAAAGAAGTAGTAGTGAAGAAGAAGATAAAGACAAAGTAGCAGTAGTAGTGAAGAAGAAGAAGAAGACAAAGAGGTAGCAGTAGTGAAGAAGAACAAGAAGGAGTAGTAGCAATGAAGACGAGGAAGGAGAAGTAGTAGTGAAGAAGAAGATAAAGACAAAGAAGTAGTAGTAGTAGTGAAGAAGATAAAGACAAAGAAGTAGTAGTAGTAGTGAAGAAGAAGATAAAGACAAAGAAGTAGTAGTAGTAGTGAAGAAGAAGAAGACGAAGAAGAAGGGGCAGTCTTAGAAATGAAGAGGTAGTAGTAGTGAAGAAGAAGAAGAAGAAGAAGAAGAAGATGTAGACTGAGAGGTAGTAGTATTGAAGAAGAAGAAGCAGTGGCAGTGAAGAAGAAGCAGTGCTGGTGATGAAGAAGACGAAGACGAAGTAGTCTTAGTAACAAAGAAGCAGCATTGAAGAAGAAGAAGTAGTAAAGAAGAAGACATAGTAGCATAGAAAAAGAAGTAGTGAAGAGGAAAATGAAAGAGAAGTGGCATTAGTGAAGGAGAATAAGATGTAGTAGTAGTAAACAAGAAGAAGGAGACGTAGTAATAAAGAAGATGTAATAGCAGCAGAGATGGAAAAACAGTCTCCTAAATGTAGTAGAGGTATACAACAACAAACTTATATCAAGTGAATTAACTCATGTAAGTATCTCAGATTGTACTTAAATGTCATTTGTCCACAAAGCGTCACTTATTATATATTTGATACAACCTGATCCAGGACTGATCTAAACCCTCTCATCTGTCTTCACATCTTTAACAATCCAATTTCACACAGTCAGTCAATCATCTCCTCCTCTAACGTAACATAATTACACTGTGACTGCCATCCAAAATACAATCTCCCAAAAGAAGTAAACACATTCTACTTTCAAAATCACAAATTTCAAGTTTTTTATTCAAGTTTTCTTTTGATTGTTCTATTAAAATGTATTATGTGTCATTTATTCTGATGCTGTTTGACTCAGGTTCCCTGAGGAACACCAACTGTATGGAGACTGAAGTACAAAAACACAAATTTGACTACCTGGAGCATTTCAGTGTGACTTTGCATGTTTCATCTTTTGAGGGAATTTTCAATCATTCTGCACTCTGATCATTTGATTTTTCCACATAAACTGTTGCCAGAGGATTTTACAAAAAGACTTTGGTTCAGATACAGGCAGAAAAATGAAAAGAATACAACCCAAACCTTATGCTGCCACCTAGTGGTCGACAGCTCTTTGGTGTTCTGCTAATCTAGAAACTTCATTAATTATTAATTCCCCACCTGAGAGTCTGCTCAGCCCTGCTGAAGCTCATGAGAAGCTGGCACTTCCTGCGGAGGTGTAGTAGCCTGTACAATCTGTCGAGTATCTCTGGGACAGCAGGACAGTGTTCAGCTCAAACTCTCCAAAATGATATGTGCCAAATTTCTGTAAGGAAAACAGCAAAAGCGTTAAAATAATGAAATAAAAGCTTCAATGATACAAAACTTCATCATCATTACAAAGTCGTAATCTGCCTGAGGATCTGAGAGCCGCTGGAAGAGCTGACATTTTTAAACTTAAAACCTACTTATCAGTCGGGCTTTTTATCATGAATAGTTTATAGACATTAATTTATTTATTTATTTACTTTATATTCATTAACATTATTGTCTTTATGTTGAAAGTTTTGCCTTATTTTATTACTATAATCTTTTATTTTATTTACTTATTTTTTCTTTAATCTTTTTATCATCACCATCATCATTATTATTGTAATTATTATTATTATCCCTCAAAGATTTAATTTGCTTTGCTGTGTTTTGTTTTTTCAATCTATTTTATCTAGTTTTTGTCTAACTTTTAGTATTATAATAATTATTTTATTAATTATTTTAGTTTTATCATTATTATTACTATTATATTACTATTATTATTATTATTATTATTAATATTAATCATTTTAGGTTTTTCTTATCCATCGTAGATTTAATTTGCTTTGCTGTGTTTTGTCTGTTTAATCTATTTGTCTAACTTTTATTATTATAATTATTATTATTATTTTATTATTTCAGTTTTTTATTATTATTATTATTATTAGAATTATTTTCCCTCAAATTTAATTTGCTTTGCTGTGTTTTGTCTGTTTAATTTATTTCATCTACTTTTTGTCAAACTTTTATTATTATTATTGTTGTATAACTTTAAAATCTATTCTATTGTGTTTCATTGCTGTCTTTTTTATCCTCGTTTTGCCTTTTATAGTTTTCATTTTGCTGTGTTTTGCTATCATTACTGTTATTATAGCTTTTTATATGTTTTGTTTCATATTTTCATAGTTTTTATCGTCTTTTAACATGTATTGGTCTTGAATTAATTTTTTTGTTATGTTTACAGTCTACACTTTTTCTGTCTTTATTATTGGCCTGAGGTGCTTTGAACTGCACTAACCTAAAATTTGTTATACTAATAAAGTTTGACTGATTTATTGATTACACATTATTTTTCCATTATAACAATATTTCCTGATTTAAAAAAACACAACAAACTAACCACTAAATGATTTAGAATAGGCAGCACTTTGCTTTAAAAGTGAACTTGTTAAACTTTGTGGAGAAAAATAATAACCTGTCACTCACAAACATGGTGTTACCATGGTGACGGGCGACCGAGCATTTGTTCGGCACCCTTGTGTCATTTTCAGAGAGGAGAAAATGAAGGATTTTGTTATTCAAACAAAGACTTTCTCTCTGCACTGCAGAAGAAAGGTGGCTGAATCTCAGAGCTTTTTTTTTTTTGTTATCTGCAGTGTCAACTCGGTGTCACATTTCAGTTGTCACACACACAAAGACACCGAACCTGGAAGATTTTACACTCTCACTCTGACAAGTGCTGCTTTAACAAAAAAAATCAATCAAAACTCTTTGAGCTGTACAGGAGTGTTCTTGTTCCCTCAGATAACAGGTTTAATCAATATACTCTTCAGCAGATAACACCACCAGATAGCAGATTTTTAACACCCTGTTTTTCAGCATTGTTGGTTGTAGAAATCTTAAATGCACCATATGTAATTTCTGCAGCTAGGGGTCTCTTAATCAAAACTATAATAGAAGACTTAAATGACATGATGAAGTAGCATGGGATTGTGGGAGCTGTGTTTACTGTTGAGAAGTCACAGGGAAGGCGTTTTTCTGTAGGCCAACACAAAATTTAGTGTCACCCTGGTTGCCTTGTTAAAAAACCTTTGGGATTCATTCATTCAAAAACCCACTGACTCTGAGACGAAGGAACCAAGAGTGCTAAAATGCTAACTCATTTCTGTGGTTTAGGACTCATTCTCGTGGCACTCTACTACTACTACCGATTAAAATCTGACGTGAGGCAGACGTTATGCTCACAGACGAGGACATGCACTGAAGTTTTGTATACATTACTTTTATTCACGTCATGTCACTTCAGTCCAATTAAATAGCTGCATTTAACTTCAGCTAATGCAATGTTAACTTGCTAACTTATCATTAAGTTCAGATAAGTTGAATACCCTTACAGCTACTGTAGCCGTAAAGTTGTGTGCTGACTTCAATCTTGTGGTAGCCCAGCGTTGTTATCCGTGGCAAAAATAATACTAGAAATAACTTTATGAGTGTTGTAATGTTATTATGTTACCGTGTGTGTTAGCTTGGTGGCTGGCATAAGCAGCGTGTCATAGTAGCACATCACAGTAAGCTGGATCGATATTGAAATATCATATAAATAAATAATCTCTACTGCAGTGGATTCCAAACTTTTTGTGCCAAATCAAGGCTTTTAATGTGTCACACACTTACAATGCCCACGCGTGAATGAAGGTTTTTTAAATTCAATTCAATTATACTTTTTTAGCTAGACTTTGCCTCTTTATTAGGAACAGGGGCACACAACATGCTGATACAGTCACTTAAAAATTAACTTTTTGTATAGGCCCAGTTGAATATTGCAATAATAACGTGTGGTTATCAAAAAATTCCATGGCACATCTGGAGTAGCATCGTAGCACAACATTTGAGAAAAATACTGTATAACTGTTTGAGTAAAATTCTGTGGCCTTGTATGATTCCTCTCTCACTCTGATACATATCAGCTGGTGTTTCTCCGGTAAGGTTTTATGGCGCCACTGAGAGGCGACAAAATTAAATGCACCATTAAAAGTGGAAATATCACATATTATATGTTTAAACCAGCACTGCTGAAATTAAAAGTAAAATTTAAAACATAACAAAGGGATCTGCATATCACACTTTTTATGTTACTGGAAATAATTGTATTATTAGTTTATATGGTGTTAATGTAGCACAATGCACATATTTGTATTTACACACTTACGGACATTCTTATTTTGATTTTATTGAATTTATTATTTTATATTTACATATTTCTATTTCATACTCTTATTCTTACTTCTTTTAATTCTCTATTCTTCACATCGGAGCGACTGTAACAGATCACTATTTCCCCTCGGGGTTCAATAAAGTACCTCTGATTCTGATTATTGTTTTTATCTCATCACTGTTGGGTGTTTTATTTTTGGATTACTTTTTAAATTTCCTGATTTTTATTTTGCGTCACTGCAGTCAACCATGTAAAGAACTCTGTAACTATGTTTTTAAAAGTGCCTTATAACCAAAATTTATTTAGATTACTGTTATAATAAGTCCTGAATGACCAGGATCTGACTGACTTGTGATAACTCTGTTCAGGCACCTATAGCAAACAGCAGTTGTCTTAAAATTCTTACCTGAAATGTGACTTACACAATTACAGAAGACAATTTGACTTGTCACAGTGGGAAAAGCTCATGTGTAAAGAAAAGAATTAAAGATGGCTGAATTTAATTTAGCTGCACCAGTTTCAGAGTACTGGTGTTGTGCATGCTGTCATGCTATCACGCCTTACTGGGACGCTCTAATAGAACAGAGACATCATTAATGTTGTTAGCTACACTGCTGCTTTGCCTACTGTGACTAATCAAAATGCCTGCTGTGAAAAAGGCCTATTTATTAGTTACACCCAAAACAGAACATCACACACACACAGATTACCCACTGGGGATATGTATAAATACTCAACGTGTTTGTGATTTGAAAGTGGGGCGACCATAAGTGGCTTCTGAGTGGATCAGGTGGGTTACCGTCTAATTACACATCGCAGCTGGTCTGGGAACACAATCATTTAGTGCCCGCCTGAAATCATAACACCATTACAATTGGTGGCAGTGAGTCGGCCCCGAAATTAACCAGATTATCCTCTGTGCATGCTCGAGTGCTGTCAGAGTGTTCCCCCCCAAACAACTAAATCCATCTATTTTTAAGACCTATTAATCGGCAAGCTCTCGAGTCCCAATGAGACTCAGATGTAACCACAGTTGAAAACCTATACACAGTGTGCTGAAGGTGCAGACGGTGTTGCATCAGGTGTGGTGCAATACTGCTGCAGGTGCATGAATACAGTAAACAGAAGCTAGTTATTTTCCACATATATTTTAGTTAAACATTAAGTCAAACTTATATATCTTATAGTAGGCTCCCTATTTTTTCTAGATTTAAGCAAAAATAATTCATTTTTTTTCACCTACTTTATTGTACTTATGTTGTAAATTTTCTTCTGTTATTTTGAACATTTAACATTTTTTAAAACACAGCTGAAAACCTTTTTATTTAGTTTGTCTTTTAATACATTTCATTTTTATTTTATCTTATTTATTTTATTTTATTTCGTTTTGTTTTATTTTATTTTATTATTTATTCTGATTTTTATTATTCTACTGTCTTTTTATTGTCTAATTTTTCTGGCCTTTTTGCTTTAGTTTTAATGTGTTGCATATTTAATGTGAAGCACTTTGAGCTACATCTCTTGTGAGAAAAGTTCTCTATGAATATTGATTATTATTTTTATTTTATCTATTTTTTTTTATTATTTCTTTGTTATATTTTTCCCTCTTACCGATTTTATTTGTCTTTGCTTTGTTTAGCCTTTTTAATCTATTTTATGCCATTTTTGGTCTGGCTTTTATATATTTCATTTTTTTTTTAAATTTTATAGCTTTAACCAGTATTTTATTGTCATAATTTTTATTCTTGTTTTGTCTTTTTATCTAGTTCTCTAATCTAATGTTTTATTTCACTTTGTTTTACTATTATCACTGTTATTATAGCTTTTAAATTATTTATTTTTATTAGATTTTCATGATTTTATTCTTTTATTTTCTCTCAAATTGTTAAATTGCCTTTATGTTTTTACACTTTTTCTGTCTTATTACCAGCCTATCTGACATCTGTGAAGCACTTTGAACTACATTAACCTGTATGAAAGGTGCCATACAAATAAAGTTTGACTGCCCAGTTTTTTTAATCAGGCTTACCTTTACGTTTTCATTTGGCCTACAGAAAAAAAATCTTTCAAAATCCTCATGTGTAATTATGTGATATCAAGTAGAGAGAACAGGTCAGAGTGTCTATAATCCAGCAGTATGAGAAAGGGCAGGCAGGAGTAAATTTCCTCTAACCTTTAAAATGTTTCTGGCATCAAAAGCCTCTCTTTCACTCAAGGCTTGTCTTCCTGGGACGCCCGTGTCTTCAACTGGAAAAACACCGGAGTGTAAAAGACAGGCTTAACAATGTAGCACAGGACAAAGACATGCATGTTAACTCCTGAACAAATAAACATGTTGACTTGCTGCAACAGTGGGCAATTGTAAGGTGACAGTCAAGGTCACTTTAGTTGTGAAACAGGGACTAAGGAGGAGGAAAAACACTGCAGTTTAATCTTCAGCAGTCTGGCAAACGTGGTCGGCAGTGACACGGCCCCTCCCTTGTGCTGTGTTGTTGGTCAGCTCAGTACAAATTTGAGAACTGGGGCTGGACTTTATCCACGGCCAGAATGAATGAGGCCATTGTCAGAGTACTTGGAAAACACGCCGCTTGGTGCACGTAAACAGAGCGGTGGCCAAACAGAGAACTAGCTGCCAGATGCCTGTCTTCAGGAATTTGTTGTTGTAACTGCTGAAGATTCAGCTTTGTCGTCACTGCAGCTCAGGTGCATGCCAAAAGATAATAAGGGGACACTGTCACATAGGTTCAGGGCAGGAGGTGCAAATGTGGTCACAGGACAGGAGGTACGAATGTGGTCAGAGGACAGGAGGTACTGCGTCAATAACTTTGTTTCTACTCAAGCTACTGGCACATACGCCTTTTGCATGTAATGTTTTTACCTGTGGAGTCCTTTCTGAACAGAGTGTTCATCACAGTGCCGTGCAGCTTCACCCTGTCCCACTCTCTGACCATCAGCCCCGCTGAGACAAAGTGCTCTACCAGCCGGTCGGCAATCACCTGCAGCCTTAAGAGCAGCAAGAGAAAAAAACATAGTAACTTTGTAAATTCATTTAAGTGTGAATTTGTGTCTGATCCACTTACTTGTCTGACTTGTCTTTCACATTGACTTTGGCATACAAGACGTCCACCATGGCTGGGTCATCGTTCATGTACTCTATACCCGTCACCTCCACCTGCAGTGGATTCCCTTCTGTGATGTCCCTAAGGGCAGACAGTAAAAAGCAGATTGCAGTGACTCACCTGGAACATCAGGTTTACAAGTTTCCTCCAGATTTTCCATTTCAAAGTTCCCTACTTCTCCAGACTCAAATTTTCAGTCCTCCATAATTTTTTTAGATCATAATTGGCATCTGAGTACAAATTGCTGGATGTTTATTATGCAAATAAACAGTTTTAAAATCCAACCATTGACACGTACGTTCCATTTTGACAATGTCTTCAATTATGTTGCCAAAAAATTGTGCCCATGAAAGACCAAACCCCTGCTCCAAGAGGAAGTAAAGTAACCAGTGTTACCCATGCCTGTATTATATTCTCTTAACATATTGAATAAATATTATATCATAGTTTCCTCCCATAGTTTTTGGTCTCTTTTATAAATAAGAACCAAAAGGGAATTGCAGTAAACACAGTCCATTTACTTTTCTGATTGCAGCATAAATCATAAATGTTCAGACAAGCTTAAAATCTGGTCATTTGTGGTGCTATGTATCTGTGCAATTTAAACATATTCCTGCTTTTTCCTCCTGTCTGGATTTGTTTCAGTTATTAAGCACTTGAGGCAGAGCTGTTTTGCAGGTGTAGGAGTGTGCGTTCAGTCAGACGCCAGACTTCCTGCCTTCTTTTGACGACATCAAGCTCACTCTGGCCTGTACTCTCAAACAGTGGTGAACATTTTTACTGCTGCCTGCTCCAAACGCCATGAAAAACGTTCAGCTTGTATAAGCATTTTATTATTTTTAGAGATTTGAATTTTACATTTTAGAAAACAGAATAGAGGCAACAGTCTGAAAACACAAATAGTTTTCTGCACTCTTTTATTTTTTTCAATACTGAACCAGACTTGGAAATAACTAAAATCAAAGTCCACACCTTTACATGCTGAGTAGAATCCTGCTGCTTTTAGATTTTACTGTCATATTTTTTGGACCCTGAATGTCGAGCAATACAACGTTCTGTTTGTAAAAACGTTGTTGTACTCCAAGAACTTTTTCTTGTGTATGTGAAACTGAGTTAACTTGTAATCCTGTTATCCAATCGTTATAATTCAGTCTACTCAGATCCAATTCAATCCAACCTTTGGAAGGTACAATGACATAAATTGATTACTTATTACCTCTGCCAGGGAGGTTTGATGACGTTTTTGGTGCTGTTTGTTAGTTTATCAGAAGGATTACAGAAACACTACTGGCCTGTAATATTCTATAGTTTGCTTTTTGTCAACAAATCCCTTAAATAAACCAAGGAAAAAATGTGTTGGTACCTAATTTACTCATCTATGGCACTCAGTCCAGAATCCATTCAAAGTAAACACTGTATTTGTTACTACTGTAACTACTTTCTGCCGTAGATTTGGTGCCCTTTAAGTATTTACAGCAGCAGGACAGTTTATTCCAACCCTCACCTATGGTGATGAGCTTTGGGTAGTGAACGAAAGAATGAGATCGCGGATACAATCAGTGGGAATGAGTTTCCTCCGTGGGGTAGCTGGGCTCAGCCTTAGAGATAGGGTGAGGAGCACAGACATCTGGAGGGAGCTTGGAGTAGAGCCGCTGCTCCTTTGCATCAAAAGGGGTCAACTGAGGTGGTTTGGGCATCTGATTAGGATGCCTCCTGGGTGCCTCCCATTAGAGGTGTTCAGGGCAGAGCCCACTGGTAGAAGGCCCCGGGGCAGACCCAGAACACACTGGAGGGATTACATATCTCATCTGACCTGGGAATGCCTTGGGGTCCCCCAGGAGGAGCTGGAAAGTGTTGCTGGAGAGAGGGACGTCTGGGGTGCTTTGCTTGGCCTGCTGCCCCTGTGACCCAGTCCCGGATAGGCGGATGGAAATAGGTGGATGAAGGACAGTGTACACAGGACTGACTAAAAAAATAAACTACAGTGCCAACATGTCCCCAGGTGCAACAGTGTAGCTCACTGAGGTGTGTTTGGCACAACGGAATAAGTTACATCACGCTCATGCAACACAGACTTGTTAGTAGGATCAAGTCATTGTAAGTTTTCAACAATTAATAAAATATAGAATACCACCAGATTTATTCTCAACAGCAATCCTTTTGGGTTTATTCTATCAGGTCTTGTTTTTATCTTCAATAAAACCAGAACAGTTCATTCATTCATTTTCTATAGCCACTTATCGTGTTGGGGGTTGCGGGGGGCTGGAGCCTATCCCAGCTGACATTGGGTGAGAGGCAGGGTACACCCTGGACAGGTCACCAGACTATCACAGGGCTGACACATAGAGACAGACAACCATTCACTCTCACATTCACACCTACGGACAATTTAGGGTCACCAATTAACCTGCACGTCTTTGGACTGTGGGAGGAAGCTGGAGTACCAGGAGAAAATCCATGCTGACACAGGGAGAACATGCAAACCTCCCATCCTGTATTTGAACTGGGAACCCTCTTGCTGTGAGGCACAATGCTAACCACTGCACCACTGTGCTGTTTTTAGTTACACAGTTTAAATCTTAGCGTGATATAATAACCTTATTTGGCCCCTACCTGATTACATTTTGACACTCCTGAAGGTGTTCACATGCTTTTCTCACTTCTGTGTCATTCAACAGAGCCAGGGTGCCGATGGTCAGGTGAAGCTTTGCGGCGTTCTGAAAGATGCTTCCATCTATTCCATTATCCTACACAATTCAGAACAAACTGTGAATTAATTTAGGATGTTATGTGTTGATCTGAACCAATACATGGCCACCACTGTCACCCATCATTACACTTTCATATTCCTTTGACACTACCTGTGAGCACTGCTTCAACACCTCGTCTTTAAAGCTCAGGAATCCTTCTTGAATTTTGGGATCGTTCAGAGGGAATGACAGGAAGTGCGTGAAAGGCTGCTTCTTCCGGAAACTCTCAATGAGGACCTCGACTCGTGTGACTGCAGATGAGACCGCAGATTTGTGGGAACCTGTGATAACTGTCAGACAAAGGAAGAAAGTCAAGAGAAAGTCTTTTGTTTCACAGTGTGCTCTCTGACTTAAATGATGCTCTTATTATATGCCACACCTATCTGTCCTTCCACTCCTTGTTTGGGGATGCTGATAGATGTCTTTGTATCAAACTCCAGGCGTCTGCGTGTCTCTCCTTTTTTCCCAATGATGTATCTGCAGTACAAACACATTATGCTCTTTACAAACAAAACATATTGTGCTTTTCAACTTGGGGGAGATACAGAACAATCACAGCATGTTTATTTTGGAAACATCTCACTTGTAAAGGACACTTGGCACATCAATGGCACAGCGGTATCCCTTATCAGTTTGCTCAATGAAGTTGGCATCACAGGATTCATCTTCTGCCAAGTCTTCACTCTCTGTACATGTCAAGAAACAACAAATATACAGATAAATTATTAGTTTCTTTTATAGGAAATTGTGGCCACAGCTTGACAGCACTGCCTGGGACTTCACATACCTGGTGGTCCCATGTAAGACATATCTTCCTCTTCCTCATAATGTTCTTCCTTAATGACATTCCTCCGGTATATTCTTCCATGTATATTGATAAGAGCTGGACGTAAAACATCCATAGTGTAAACTAGTTAACGTTAGCTAACTTTAAGCTAACCTAGCAAGACTAATAAACCTCTAAATTGCTCGATAACAAGTTGCCTACACGAAATAAATGGTGTAAATTAGCTTTTGTAGCTTTTTCAACACTTTAGCTGGCTAGTTGCTCATTTATATTGAAAAGAGCTGGACGTTAAACATCCAGTGTCAACTAGCTAACGTTAGCTGAACTTAAGCTAACCGAACAATACTAATAACCCTCTAAATTGCTAGCTACACGACGTATAAATTAGCTTTTGTAGCTTTTTAAACACTTTAGCTAGCTAGTTTCTCCTAACGTACATGTCAGTTGACGTTCACATGTTGGTTTCCCTGCTTTACGACACACAGCGGCGGCGTTTCATGTTCAGTAGATCTACAAACGGAAATTAACGGAAACGACCCGTCCCCATTAGTTTCAACTCTACGGCAAGAGTGACGCCGCTTCAAACGTAAACCGCCTTCTTTGTCGTGAATAGTGGCAAGCAGAAACATATAAACAACAAAACCAACTGCGCGGATTTGAGCCCATAATAGTAATACTAGCACATAGACGGTACGTTTTATTGTTTTATTAAGGTTACTTATTGCCATGTTGTGTCTAGCAACGTTAATAGTGAATGGTCGCTGCGCACATCGGTGCCACCAGAGTAGTTAGCTTCTTTGCTAGCCACCTAGCATAGAAGTCGCAGTTAATAACTTGCTATCACTGAAAGACAGGAAAGCTAACATACTAACGTTAGCTTTCTTGGGCTGGTGTGGCTATAGTGATAACTAAAATGCTAGTCTTCCATATGTATGCTTGGTAGATTGTAGCAGCAGTACAACATATTTTCTTGTGTGTGTGTTTTAAAGTTTTCCAAGGCGATGGCAGCGTCTTCTTCGTCCTCCTCTGCGGGAGGAGTGAGCGGCAGCTCGGTGACTGGCTCTGGGTTCAGTGCTTCAGAGCTCATCCCTCCAAGGAAAGTCCTGTACACATATCCTAAAGGAGCAGGTGAAATGATGGAAGGTGAGATGAGAAAACACGCAGCTAAAGGCATCTCTACTTAGCTGTTTTCCCACCAAAGCAGGGGCTGAAGGAATCAGACTGACAACACACTGTATGTTAAAGTGTTGGACCGTCTAAGTTAGTTCAAAGTAGCTTGTGCCTCTCTTGCAATTATTGTACTAACTTAGATTGTAGTAGTGTGCATTTGAATTTAAGTACAGGTCTCTAAATGATTCACACAAGCCCAACTCTGAAAAGATCTGGCAAGTCTTGCAACTACTGTGAAGACATTTCCAAATTCCTCAAAGCCTCTTTTGTCGGCTGGAGCAACAAGATTATAATATATGAAGAAATGAAATTGGTGGGCTGCACAGTAAAGACCTTTAAATCCATTTCCCAAGCTGCTCAAGCCAACAAAGATCTCCTTTTACACTGAATCACCAAAATTAAACATTGACAGCTAGAACTAAAAAGCTGAAACAGTCACAGCTGAAAACTAGTGACAAGTCGTTGTTATTGTGCCACAGCCTTTGAAGAAGCTGGAAATGCCAAAATGGATTACCAAATGGTAATGGACCTGCACTTGCATAGCGCCTTTCTAGTCATCCAGCCACTCTAAGCGCTTTTGCACTACGAGTCATATCCACCCATTCACACACATTCATACACTGGTGGCCGAGGCTACCATACAAGGTGCCAGATATGTAGGCTGGAGGAGACAGGGGTCGAACTGCCGATCTTCTGATTGGTGAACGACCTGCTCCACCTCTGAGCTACGGCTGCCAGCTTTTTAAAATTTTGGCTGTCATTTATCTTTTCATTTGGTTAAGTTTATTGATTTATAAGAGGACATTGTGCAGTGTCATTAATCATTTACAAGAAATGAAAACATGATTGCACCAGATTTAGAGAAATGCTTATTTCCATCTGTAGTCCTACATGTAACAAGTAGATGCAGTAAATGAAAATAAAATTGAAGGTACAGTGCAGACTACAGTAAATTCGTGTGCCTAACATAACAGAAGCAGCACATACACACTGCACAGTACAATTGAAAACAAAGTAGCTACCTTGTAAAGTGACCAGGTTACCAGTGCAGGTGCAGGTAAAAGGCAATCGGGCACCTCCGCTTCAAAATACACCAATTCATGTGGTTAGTTTTTGAGTGCTACAAGGTTAAAAACAGCTTATAAAGGGATGAATTGGATTGCAGAAATGCCGAAGGTCTCAAACTTTTCTCTTTGTTTATTTACAAAACTCTGACGGCTGAAAATTGCATAATTTTTAACCTGAACGAATCTTTCAGGAGTAGCTTCTAAAGCACCATTTTGACTTTCTATTAGCCTTGTGAACACCAAGGCTTCACCACCATTGAAATCTTTTAGTTACATAACAGGGTCATACATTCAACGGCCTTAGAAGCTTGTACTCATGTAACAAACATTGCTTGCATGAAATTATCCTGAAAATACATACACAGATGGAAGACTAAGACTGTTGGTGAAGATTCTCAGTCATCCAGGTCATGGTCATTCCAAGTGTTATAGCGTAGGCAACCGAACTATATTAGCTGCACATGACAGTGCTGCATGTGCATTGGTGAGTTAAATCACGAGCGCACATGCATCTGTTTAAGAGGCAATGGCGAAGTGAAATTTAAAAGGGAGAGAACGAATGAACAAGTAAGTGGTGACTGGATTCATTCTTCAGGACATTCTTTTATGTCACGTTTTCATTGATAAACTAACATGGGCTCTAGTATAAGAAATGTCAGGGGATGAAGTAAGAAAAAAGTCTTTTTATTACAGAAGTTCGACATACAATCTGTATTCTCCCACCTCCCCCTCCTCAGGATTTGCCCCCCAGCTATCACTTACAAGGCAGGGTTTAAGTTCTGATTTCGCACCCGTGCACACTGCAGTCAATACGTCTGGCACTCAAAGTGCTAACACATTTCCAAAGTTTCCACACATGATTATCCTCGCTGTCAGTCAACCACGGGACACTTTCAGCCTGCCCTGACTGTCTGACTGGGTTCAACCTGAGCGAGTTGGTAATTAGTGAGGGGAGTAGGCAGATCAAACAAACAAACAAACACAAACAAACATCTTTTTTCCCGTTACCAGCTCATGTGCCAGGGTGGACCGGACAGTCCCACAGCAAGTGCAGCTAATGGACCACTGATGCTCTGTAGAGACACAAATGGATAATCTTAAACACTTTATTACAGAGTATATA